GGGGTACGGCTGTTTGGAAATATGCAATTTTTAAGTTGTTCCTACATATGTATACAGTGCGTATGTACTTACATATGATAATAGTGGGTATTTTACGATTTTTTATATATCCTCAAAAATTGTACGACAAATCTCATCCAAATTGTGCATAGCTCGATATTGAGCTATCATCATATTTGTCTTATGCAAAATGTATAAAACTTACTAGAGATGAAATCAAGAAATTCAGCAATATCTCATACTGTTTATTTTCATTTAATACGACTTGATCATCGATTAGCTAATTCTGCGTTGCGTATAAACTATATCAGTTGTACATATATGTTATAACGATATAAGTTATAAGGATTCTAGGTTAGAAAAAATTCTTTCTAAAACTTTGATCAATTTGGAAAGAAGCACACTGATTTACAAATATGTACTCATCGTCGGTCGTTTAATCGAGACTGAATAGAAAAAAATTTACAAGAGCCGGTTTACACAATTTGAATCTATTGATTACAATTTCAGTAAGGTATTAATTTTAGAAAAATCAACGCTCTCGCCGCCAGTTTATTATTATTGTACATGCCTCTTATTACAAAAGTGTAACATTAACCCTCTATGGGCCGAATTTTTGTTTTGGGGACGAAATATCAGAAATTATAAACCTATATATGCAAATGAAAACAATATTTTGTGTTTAAACAATTTTATTGCGATATATTCACTATGTGACTTTCAAGTCACACCAGCCTATAAAATTGAAAATTTGAGAAAAAAAATTGAAAATTGAAATGCAAACAAATAGGATGTTATTGATATACTAACCCAGAGTTATTATGTCCACTGTTTTTAGTTTGGTAATCACTGACAAAAGCACAAATAATATCAATTGGATCAAATGGTTTCACGTAGTTTTACTGCCGACAGTTTGCACAGCATTTATTTTGTTATTTCAGGTTGATGAGCCTAGCAATGGTCGTGAATACTAGTATTGGTTGTGTTAGCAACGTCATAGAGTTAAGATTTGTGCGCCATCTCATGAAAAAAACTATAATTATTTTGTAAAATGTCGATAAATTAAAATGTGACCTGAAAGTCACACGGGCCCATAGAGGGTTAATGTTACACCGGCTACGAGAGTGTTAAACAACATATTGGTCATATTGCTCGTATCTATAATTCATTCATACATCCTTAATGCGCTAAGCGGCTTTTCCCGTAAAATATTGAACTATACTCTCTTAATGATTTATAGTATCACATTGGGTATCTTGCAACAAAATTAAACAAGGAGATGAACGCTGCTAGGAGTCCTAGGGATAATAATGAAGTTTTGTATTCATTTTAAAAAATCGTATTTTTCTATTATCGCTCAAGAACATCGTAACTCTGTAGATTCAGCGAAAAGGACGTAACTGTTTTTCCCCTATGAAATAACACATAATTAAGGTGATTCGATCACTTAGAGCATCTTCAAGATGCGAATATAAATATTGTATGTGTTTTTGGCAAAAGCTTACCGATTCCGCGTGCAAAATTTCAAAATTCTTGACCGGCTCACTTAGGAGAAATACGGAATGAAAGTAGCCAAAAAAAGCACTATATGGATATAGTTTCCTTGTTAAAATAATTGTTTCGAAATATCTTAGCTTTCTAGCTGATCAAAATGAATGAAATATCTAGAAGACAATTCTTTTACGTGGGCAATTACTATGGTCATTTATAAATTGAACATCTTCAAAATTCCTCTTTTTTTTACTGCATTATTTAAACATAGTCATATGAAAACTCTTTAAAAGATCTCTGTCCCTCTGCTTGTTTCAACTATAATACCTTACATAGGAAATATTTTTATAGTCAACGATATAATCGTATTCACATATATGTATTGCAATATTATTATGATGCTAGGCGAACCACCTTCAGTGATCATTAATTTAATGGAGTACAGTTAGTTTTTAGCTTACATCAAAGAAAGTAATGATTTTATAAAACAATGCAGTGCTCAAAAACTTTCCAAGTAACAAGCAATCTCATGTTGCAAGAAAGAAGATAATTTATCAAATTCTACTCATATCATTCGCTGATATTATATAACTAATGTTTACAGTGAACAAAGATAAGAAACTATAACTATAATGCTAGATAAAACATCTTAAGTCATACAAAAAGCTTTATCTTTATCCAGTTACATTTTTTTTTCATTGAAAAATGCAGTTATACTATTTTTTTTCTCAGTGTCATCAAGTCACGTTGATTTTACTGGAAAAGCACGACATGATACTAAAAGCACAGTTATGATAATTTTTGAACAGTGCTCAGACGCAGCACTTTATTGGATTAATAATGACTTGGGTTATTCTTATCTTGAAGGAATGAGTTACGCAGCTTGATGAAAAAAAGAAGGCAGAAACGATGATTTTCTACGAGCTGTTGAATTACGTGGATTTTACTGGGAAAAAATAATTACGTTCTTATCACTGAATCAATAGAGTTACGATGCTTTTGATAAGCAGTGACAAAACAACACTTTTTAAAATGAATGCAGAAGATACATTATCATTAATGCGTAGTTGTCCTAATCGGGAATATGTATGTCTCGACGTTCCATACAGCGCATTACGTCCAAAATTCGAATTTCCTCAACATATCTATGATTATTCGATGTTGTACTTAGATTCCAAAAGTAGATTCTGTAAAGTATAAATCTACTACATGTAGCCAAATTCTCATTACAAAATCTTACACAATTTTGCACAAGAAATAACTGACAATATTCAAGTACATTGATGTAATTGGTGCACTTACTTTCGTCTGAGATGTTATACAAGAATTATCTACCGAACGATCATCAACAGTCTACTAAATGTGCTGTACGAGAAATTTATAATATCGATAGTGATTATTAATATTATAATCAGTATTGTCATTGTCATTCGTTATAACATTATTATAGTAATAATATTATATTATTTTCACCGATAGATACGTGAATGAATATTCATATTATGTTATAATTATGGCATGTACAAGTGATAAAAATCATAGATCAGATTTTATGATATGGTGACTTCACTGTGACATATGAATATTTTTTAATATCAAATTGACACTCCTCGGAGCATTATATAAAAATATTTGTCATCAAACATAGATATTATCTCTATAAAAAAAAAAACTTTTTAATACTCACAAACAGCAGCATAATGAAGAATGCAGCAAAGTATGAAGTCCGAGCCATCCACATACTGACAAAACGATAATGCTCCCCAGTAACAACATTTCTGCAACAAAATCAAATCGTAAATTAACATTAAACAACTATGTTTGAATACCGTAATACTGTCGGTAAGTTTTCTAGTGTTCGATTAAAATCCTCCGGATATTCAGGTATTGCTGAGAATCATGATTTCTAAGAAACTATTGACAAAAATCAATAATATTTAATGATGCTCTAAATTATTTTAGTTTCCTTTTTGACATGACGTGTAAATTCTTACCGCAAGTAACCTTTGTTGTTCTCATGCTCAGCCAATGTCTTGATGCTTGCCATGAGTAAATCATCGTAACCAAGAAATCCATCGAGAATCAGACGTGAAAATGCATCTCCGAAACATTTATCATTTGAAGGGTCTAAGGTGACTATTTTCACAGGAATGTTTAGCCTCTGACGTGCAGCAGGCGAGAGCCGTAGAAATCCATATTCTAGAGAATACTCCACTATGTACTCGTCCTCTGGAAAAACTGATAAAAGATTAAAAACAATGCTTTTACGAAATATGATCAAAAATACTTCCGAATTCAGCGAAGAAATGTAAATCATCATAAACATACTTTGCGCATTTGTCATTTAAAACAGATAACTCTTCTATATACGAGAAAATATATTTGTATATAAAGGGAAAACGGAACGATAAATAATATAAAAAACATTGATATAATTTTTCTAAAGTATGAACTTCAAACGGCATACGACATACTGTGTTTTTGATTATAATTATAATGCTAAATATAAATTAAATATTGATATTTACCTGCTCTCACTATCTTTTCCACTTCAGAAACTTGACTTTTCAAAGGCTGAATGATATTGTCCCCATTGTGTAATTCACTGTCGTGTTCCTCAGTAACATTTCTGTACGAACTTGTTGGTGGTATAGTACTTTCAGCTGCCGACTACAATTTGAAAATTTAAGCAACGTAAGAATACAACGTATTTTAATAAGACACACATTACATTGCACATGGTGGCAATAATATTTAGTTATATAATTAATCATTATTCTTTACCTCTTGACTTTCTGTATTCAGTCCATTCCAAAGCTTTGTAGATAAAGGTGGACTTATAGTCGCATTTGTCATACTTAAATTTGGATTTGAACTTTTATCATCACCACCAACAGTAGCGCTACTCATTTCATCCCCATCTTCTGTTAAAGTAAAATTCTGACTTTCTTCCTCGTGAGTCTCATCGATTTCTCTTTGCTCGTCGACCGCCGATGGCTCAATGTTTATGAATCTGTTGGAATGATTAAATCATAAGAATTAATTTATTCCTAAAAACAATCTACTATTCCTATATATAAACGATGTCTTCTTATAATGTCCAAATTGAACCTTACAGTAATTTGGGGCAAATACTTAGTAACATATATGTATATATGATTATTCAGCCCAAAGAAGCCAACTGAAATTAGCCCATTCGTTTGATTCCAATGGCAAAACCAACTTTGATTGATGCATTTGGATTTAATTACATAGTATAAATATATGTTAAAATTGTGTGTTCGTTCTAGAATGTAATATACTTCAACTTATATAACAAATCTAGTATCCAAACGATTGAAGGACAACTGAATAGTGATTACGAGAATATTCCAAAATATTAACGTGTAAGAGGAGTATAAACACTTACCCATCTCTGGCTAAAATCCCCAAAACGTTAGCAATGTCATCTACCTTCTCTTGCCTCAATTTCTCCTCTTTTGCATAGCTCTTTTCTATACTGTAATCATCTGCTCCGTTTCTTAGTATTTCCACTCTGAGTATACCGTCCCGCGGCCACTCATCCTTTATATGATCTAAACAATTTGTAGGTGCACGCGAAAAGACTATATGAATGTAAGCTAATATGAAAAATGCTGTTATTGCCTGTAAAGAGAGAAAAGTTTGTTCATTTACTTATCCTATAAGAATATTAATATCATAAATTTACTTAATTTAAGTATTATGTCTTTGTCTCGTTAGTATATAGTAGCTTAAATAACAATAGGAATTTTTGTATTATGACGTTAAATGATTTAAAATATGTTTCCAGGAATACAAATTTAAATATGCACAATTGAAACCTGTAATCTGAGTTAAATTAGCCCCTTTATACAACATAAATTTCAACAACAACAACGACGAACAATTTATTCCTAGAGATGAATGTCTAATATTGTAAAAAACAATTTTTTTACAGAATGACTCAATGTACTAACATTAAACAGTGGTTAAAAATTATTTCTAATGTACGAGTTCAATAACCATTGTACAAATATTAAACGCAAAGTAAAAATAAATCTTTACAAATGATTGCTTACCTGTAATAAAATTATAAATTCTATAAACCTTCGCACAGGCCGTGGAAAGGTTCTTGCATAAATCAATGCAGCCTTTATAAACATTGCGTGAAACAATCGATCACGCACGTTAAATAAAGGATTTTGATTATTATTATTTCTTGCTCTGTTCATGTTATTATTATTAAGAACAGGACCAATTGCACCTGCAAGACTGTGATTATTATCTGGTGCTGCACCGTTTTGATTGTTTGGAGATGGAGCAACAGCTGCGTTTCCTTCTGACATTGTTTGCAATCAGTCCTATTCAATTCCAATAAAATCTGGTTAAGTACGTGTACTTAACAATTTATTGCAGTCTGATAGTTGGAAATGAACACTCCTTGAAAACTGGTGTTCATATGACTTAACATTTCCAATTATGTCCAAATATTTTCTGCCTGTAACAATTAAAAAAACTTTTCATGTAGGCATTATTTGCATCAAAAACATTGGTAAATATCATTGTAAAATAAAGTTAGTTACATTGGCATATGTTTGTTGCTAAAGCAATATGTTACATAAACAAATCTAATTGAAAGTAGACACAATTAATTATTTGATATACTCAATCTTATAATATCAGCTGAGGCATTACATATTACGTTACATATAAAGATATTGAGCAAATAGCTTATATTTCCAAATAGCTGCTTTTGTTCATCTCATCTCAAAAAGTAAAATACTAGTTGTTTTTAAATTAGATAGTGACTTAAGTTTCACATACTTTTTATCTGATATATTGAACAAAGTATTATATAGTTAGCGCATTATCTGCATGATTTATGAGGACAATAAGACAATTAAAAATATTCAAATATTATATTATAAAGCACGAAATTGGGTTATTATATACAAAGATGTAATAAAAGATACTAACAATCAAGACCAATATCTCAAAATAACAAGCAAATATTCAATGAAACTAAAAAACGAATCACCAACTTGTTATTCAACCAAAGAAAAACATTCTATCCGTCCATGATCAATATGCAACTTTAAAAATCATATCATTTAAAAATACAAAATATTGAACATTAAATGAAAAATGTATTTCTGCTAAATGGTATCTACCAACAATAAATATTGTAACTATAACAAATGAGGTATCATACCATTCTAATCTAGGCCAAACAACAATAACCTAAGCAACAAATAAGTAACATGATGCTCATGCTTCAAAGTAATTCTTTGTAGAAAATAACATACAAAATAATGTATGGATCATTCCAAAAATAAAGAAATAGAGGACTGTTGTCGTTTAATAGAAAGAAATTGGAGCGAGTATTAAAATAGTAGCACACATGCCACAACGTCATGTAGTTACATAATGGACTAATGTAAAACTGATTTTCATCATTAAACTCGAAGTTCCAACGAATGATAGGCAAAATAATATGAATAATCAAAGATAATTCTCCCGGACGTGACACGGTGACTGCTCCAATTTTCACGAGGAAGATTTTTCTATCACAACTCGTACCTCTTCGAAGGACTGAAGGACCTTTATGACCGCCTGACAGTGTTTCCCACGAGGCTCAGCCTTACAGGTTATTCAGTAAATCGTCGAAATTTCGTATTTAATTGATATTATCCTCGCGACAACTTCGGAGCTCGTGAAAATCTTTATTTCATCGTCATATGTTTTGACACACGACGTAACTGCTGATAGTGCATTAGTTTTACAGGTTGGCCAACATTACAAGTAGTTACACCTTACAGAATTTACAGTCTAGATTAAAAGATATTAGATCGATACTATGAGTTAACTCTGCTTATATGTTTAATACCATATAAACACAGCAACAATTCAAACGAAAACGTTCAATACAATAAACAAATTGCAATACATTCATTTGTAATGATATACATATTTAAAATTGTTCAGGATATTCTGTCTTCTATTTAAATTTCTCCAATGATCACTGAAATAGACAGTTTGCCATTAACTGTCTTGACATTCCTGAATTTCCACATTGTTGTCTGATTACTTCTAAAAAATCGTTAAGCTTATTATACAATAGTCGTATAAATATATTGAAATAAGAAAATTAGAATCACATTACTCTCAAGAATACTAAAATAGTAAGTGCTGGAAGAAATGATGGCAGAAAAGGAGTGGTGATAAAATCTATAATTATATACTAAATTTTAAGGTATTTATTTAAGTTCTTAAACTTGTCTGTAACAGGCAGCAGCTGACAACAAAACATCAAATTCACATCTTCAATGACAATTGACAGGAAGATCATACTTGCCAACTTCATATATTGTTACTCTAGAATGTAATGTGTTGTTCATAACACAATACAGTTAATGTTTCAAAACTTGCGGTAACTTAATTTCATTGAACTTGACTTCTTGATATAGAAATAATATAAAATAATGAAAAATTTTGAACCAAACACGCATACTATAAAATGTAATGTCTTTTCCTGTGGTTACGGTATGTACCTATCGAGATGCTTATGAAAAATATGTTTTGTTAACGAAAACCACATTATTATGTTAAACCACGACATTTTGTACTTTATTTCAATGTTACTTTAAAATAAATGTCTGACACAGTATAAGCTTCTGCAATTTTTGGCAAGATGCAAAGCAACTTTCTTTTAATACAAGTTATGTCTGAAATTAAAGTATTATTTCTTAATTATATGTACATTTGCAGTGGTCTTCAATGTTTGTCAAAAATAATATAAATCACTTGTTTTTAATAACAAAGAAAGAAAACTAAGAATGAGTTTCAACTGTAATCCATAGTACTATAAAGTGAATTGAGAATTATTGGTTAGAAAAAGATAAATTTTCCAAGTGTAAATTAAAAAAACTGTAAGAATCTATACAACACATGGAAAGTTATTAGTTTTGAGAAACTGATTATGTGTTCGCAATTTCAACTCTCAAGGAATTGCTTACAGCTGTAAACATGGACTGTCCATCAAGACACAATGTGTTCCAATCTGATGAATCATTGGAAGGTGGTACAACAATAGTGGTTGCCATATCCTGATGAGGATAAAAAGGGCTCCACCAATCCAAAACCCGAATTTCGATGACTCCATCCAAGACCACTAACTGACTCGCTATATTTTTAGGAGTACATGCAGTTCCAAATCCAAGTTGTAGTTTATGATGATCGTAACCTGATGACAAAGTTACTGTCACAGTCTGTAGTGTTAAACCAATCACCATGGGTACCATGCTATACTTTGCACAAGCCACCTAAAAACAATCAGATTCTGTGTCATCATATATTAATAAATATTTATAGAAACATATATTAGACTGTATCGGACGCAATGACTAGATATTATTAATTTTTTATTAATGCTACAAACAACACATTAAAAAATTTAACAGGAAATACACATACTCGAAGGACCTTACAGCCTTCCTCCGGATTTGCAGAGACATCCTCTAATATTTCAACAAGATCTGGTTTTCGGTTACCGGTTCTGTCCAACTGTTTTAAAGAAATACTCTGGGTGTTTGATACGTCTTTCATTTTAAAGAAAAAATACCAGCGCGCTTTTCCTTTCTGTAAACAAAATTTAAACTACAGCTATATTTTATTACAATTATAAATAATATGAACTGATTATATACATACTTTATGCCACATAAGACAGCACTGACGTTTCACCAACGCATATGGTTCTCTATGAGCTGCATAATAATTGGGAATCCTATTGTCCCGAAAGGCAAAATAAGTGTAATGCAAAGTTCTAATCACACAAGCACGCAATCCATACAAACGCACCATGCACTCTGGCTGCAAACGTTCCGGTAAACCTGGTACCGATTTGTAGTACCTAAAATAATAAGTCAGCATCAAAGATATTATAAAAAATAAACTTCAGTCTCCCCAAATAAGATCTAAATCACTATTAAGCTATTACCATTAAGAGAAAATCATCAAATATCATCTAAGATATTTTTCACTCAGGTTGTTTAAAATTGAGAAATTATAGTAAAAATATCTGTATTTTTCATATATCTCAGTGAAACTATTTTGAACATAACAAGAATTACCTCTTGTACAGATGAAACCAAAATTTTGCGGTTTTCACAACATGACAGGAACTTTTGCAAATACTCGCAAATTTCCCAACTGCTTCTGGACTGATGTACTCCGATATAAGAAACCACAAATCCAATGGATAATCAATACCTAAATTATATTCCAATCAATCTATTATTCCAAACACAGTGATTACACTCATATAATACTGTACTAATTCAAGCAAATTTTATCATTGGATAAAAATATATCCATATAATAGTAATAATTACTAAAAAGGTAAAATTTTTTTATAAGAGATTTATTATTTACCTCCTTCATCTATTAACGGCTGTGTGATGGACTTTCCCTTCTTACGATGTCTGCTTTGCTTCTTAATACCATCTACAGAATTTAATATCGTTAGATTCCCATGTATTATGAATATTCTTACAATATTCAATACACTATGAACATTCCTACTGTTATATGTATAATTAAATATATCATTAAAACTACAATGCAACGTTTAAATAAATTTATCTTCATCAATGAACGTCAATGGAAAATTGCAAAAATAAAATATGTATATGTTACATAACAGTTCATCCTTAAAAATTAAACAGGTCTCAATAAAAGTGGACATGAATCTAAGATATTTTCTAATATATGTATACAAGGTTATTCATGACAAATGCACTACCCTTGACCCCTTATTTTATTTCTATGTAAAACCACCTTCAGATGGTGCATGTGTGGTAAGTAACCCTATATAATAATACAGGTGCAAAAAATTTTATAATGTACAATGGTAGCCTTAAATTCACAATTAAACAACTTACCCTCCGGTTTGTCATCATTCGCTTCTTCAGAAAGCTCTGTGACTTCATTAAAATCATCAAACTTTTCATCCCATGCACGGTCGTCATCTTCCTGCTTTGTCATTACTTGTTTCACTATAACATTTAATAAAAATTGATTGAACTCATAACATATTGTAAACATGAAAACAGTATAGTTAAATTGCTACAAAAGTGTAAGGGGTCAAATATTCTTTTACATTCAGTCATGAGAAGGTAATTCCTTAAAAGGATATTCTTTTATGGATACATCATATATCCTAAAAATTTCAGATTTTATTTAAATATGATTGTTACTATTATATGCTAATAAAACATTTGTTGCAACAGACCAAGTAATATAAAGATACAAACATTATACTGCAAAAATAAACACAATAAATAACTAAATCAATTTCCATCATTATAAGAATAATATTATTATAAACTGCCATACAGCATTATATAAATCGATCAATGATGAATATAACTTAACCACTAACCTTCAGAGGAGACACTTGTAGTAGCTTTTTTAAGTCTTGCATGAACCCCGGTCGGAGAATTTGCAAAATCGTTGATTGTCACGTCTAAAACAACAACCGAATTATCATTAAATGATTCACTGATTAGAGACTATTAAACATGACAAAAAACAAAAACAATTTTGCCTAATTAGAAAAAATATCAAAGGTTTGAATATACAATATTGACTAAAGTTAAATCATATTATAAATTGGAAAATAATTTAATCATAGGTACTCGAAATTTAAACCATAGTGAATTTTCATCGAGACGAATTTGTTGCATCATAGACACTATATTAACTAATGTGAAAAATGCAAGTTATAGATTAATCAAGTAAGGAGCAGATGAAATTAACATTTTTATTATAATAAAATAATAAGCAAAGTCAATGAGCCACATAGACTGAATAATCTAACCTCCAAGGTTTTTATTGCTCCTTCCTTTCAATGTCAGCCTTCTCCCTGTTTTTTTGCCTGGTCTAGGCATTTTGTCGTTCTACCTTCTTTAGATACTACAAAATTAACCGGGTACATCTTGTAATGGAATAACAACATACACAATAAAAATACTTATGAATAGATAAACCTCCACTATCGCCAGCCATGTTGGACTGTGTTGGACTGTAAGCAAGCAGACAACATAACTTTCATATGAACAGCTGGCATAGTTTAAGCGCTGCCTCCGGTGCGTATGTATATAAAAGTTCCCGATTACCACTGTTTCTTCTTGCACACAACGGGCAAGTTCGAAATAAGTTGTTCTGGTGCAATTTATCCAAAAAATATCAGGTAAGAATACTTTGGATTAAAATTACCCAAAGTAACTGCAGAGGAACATATCATAATCACCTCTACTTACAAGATGTACGACTTTTACGTACTAATTTCGATCGTTTTTTCCGCCGATTCTTTTGTGCAATTCAAAATCGATAACAATATACATACATATGTAATCCTACCGTGGACATCAAGTTTCAAGAATATGTGGTAAACCGGAATGTATTGAACAGTAAGAAGTACTATTTGTTTATTTTTACTCAATGTTGATTCAAACAATTCCATTTTGCACCTAATAAATAATGTTCTGGAGATATAATCGGATAATGAGTTCGATGCTTTTTTTTTGAAAGATCAAAAACAATTCCTTGTTTTCAAGTTGTGTAATTTTATGGATACCCACGTGTGATTTTGTCAAAGTTTGCATTCTTTGCAAACTGTCGAAAAAACACATTAAAGTCTTTCATAGACAGCTACTCTTATGAAATTATCGACTTAACCAAGTAGAGCTCCATATAGCACAAAACATTAAGATACGTTTTAAAAACGTTCCTGAAACCTAACAAGTAGATTTATGTATATGTTTCAGCCATGTGTCTAAAACTTAGCTGAATATTTTGTACTGTAAGGACATTGACTGTTTTACAGTATAAAAATACATGATATACTGTTGGAATAAAATACCTCGTCATTAACTGTATTTACCTGGAAATGTGTGAAAAACGATTTTCGACATTAAATGGTAGATGGTTTTCTGTTTTTACATGTGAACACTCTGATCATTGATGGACAATTTTTTTCTTTGATTTCGTGCCATCGAATAAATATGGCAAAAGGTGTAATTTGCAAGTACATGTCTTAATAGAAAATTGTCTGGATGAATAGTTAAATTCTAAAATGAACAGCACTTTTTGCATGTATTTTGTGTATAAAAGATGTCAGGACAATAATCAAATTGAGGCATGCTTAATTATTACAGAGCTCTACGTTACCATACAGTTTCATAAATTGGATGAGAGAATCTTGTTTCTGCATTTATTGCAACAAACAAAATACTGTTATAACTTTTTACTAAGTGATACAATACAAATTTTTTAGTCATGCCACTCATACTGAAGATTATCATCTGAAACTAAGTACTTTCACCTAAAGAAACTTCAAATGCTTGTCTTTGACACACAAAATGTCGTTATAATCTTTAAATATAATTTAAATCGTAGGTCTTAAATAAATGATAAATGAACTTATAAATGTTTATGCAACTGCACAAAAGTTAAAATCGATACAAATTTCAATGAACGCATGACTTACCGACTGTGCAAACCATTGCAATGAGCACTACGGATAAAAGAGAAGCAATGAGAATCACTACTGCCTGGATAAAGTGATCAGTCTCACGAGGTATAAGATACTGCTTGCACGTGAGTTTCGAGGTTAGAAATCAAGTGATACAAAATAAATTGTTAAAAATTTCATACAGACACGTAGAAGAAGTGGTTATAATGTTTGATGATTTGGAGTCAACTTGCGTGCTTATATTTCTCGGGAGCATGATCATTGGAGCATTTATATCACGAAGATTGCAAATCAGAAGAGGTGCACCACCAAACACGGAGCTGCCTGAGCCATCATCAGATACAAATGGGAAAGATGCTCTTAACTTGAAGAAAGATTAACCTTTAACCTACGGAATATTTTCAATGCAAATTGCATATTTCTTCGATTGAAGCGTATATGACGTTCGCCCGCTGCAGGTTAATATAATATCTAAAGAATTTCACTGAAGTCCAATAGAAAAACAAACTGAGAAATTGAGTAACATTTAATATTTCTGTGCACCCTATATAACGTAATAGATGGAATAGATGATAATTTAGTGTTACTTCATACTGTTGCAGCATTATGCCTTAAAAAGTACCTAAACAGAAATGTAATACATTTATATAGTATTTTTTTTGTCAATAGAATATAATTAATAATTTTTTCAATAATCATTCCAAAACTACTATCTTATTTGGTTATATTGTATATTATACTATGAATAAAATAGAAAAATATTAGAAGCCCACATTATACATATATGTAACTTTTATAATACATTCTCTAAGTCTTCACGCTTGAGACTCTGTCAATGAGTTTCGAGAACTGATACGGTCCAGAGGTTGAACAAATTATACTCTGAGAAACTATCGTTTTTTATAATAAGAGTTCAAACAGTCCTCAGCCTGATTAACCTCGTAACCCATACTCGAGGTGTATTTGGTATTAATTTTAATGAGTAATTCTAAAGTAATGGGTTTATTTCCTCCGTAGCAATTCTCCGATCGATTGCATCATTGAGCGAGCACCGGAACACCATGGACCACTGTTGCACTTGTGCATCTTTGAAAGGGCGATAACCCATGACGGATCATCCACGAACGATTCCTCTATTCGCGACCATCTACATTCATTCTTTCTGACATGTCCATCCCTGTTGAAGCATTTTCCGCCCCGCTCTAATGGACTGCACTAATCGAGAGACTCGGTCGAGTACGCGCCAAATACAAGGAACCCCACGTACAGGACACGGCCCGCCGAGACTACTCGAAGCATCTCTTGTACCTGTATTTTGACTCAAATGTCCATCGACATATAGCATGGACAAGAGATGAATAGAGAGATGCACAACACTACGGTTTTAGGCAGAGATGAGTAGGAAGATGCACAACGTTACGGTTTTAGGCGATACCAAAAACATAAACATAATGCATATCTCGTCGTAGCCGAGCTAAACGTGATCTCGAACGTGTAGCCTGACCGGCAGATGTTTTCCGCAACTTGCTGCTAGTTCCCAAAGCAACCTTTAGAACGAGGCTGCTTATCAGATATTGCCTGAATATTTTTTTTGTAATCTTAAATTCGGGTGTACAGTGTAAGCTCGATAAGATTTACTAAGATATAAGCTAGCACCTCATGCCTGCCTGCGTTAAGGAGTGCAGCGATGCAGTGCTAGCTTCCAGCATTATTTAACAATAGTTCCAAGCGGAACTATGGTCCCAACATTGAGTACTAGAGAGAACTATCCCGGAACTGTTTGAAACACAATCTGAAAACAACACTGAAAACCAGCTCCTTATGCACACCTGAACTGAAGCATATGGTGCGACTAGTATCCTTAATAGTAATTTTACCGATGTTACGTAGTAGAACTATTGTTAAAACCTATCAGGAATTATAGAACTACTCGAGAACTATTGAAAAAGCCTATTGTTGAATTATTTTTTAAAGATTTTAAAAAAGTGCGGTCCTGAAGCTTACACCCGTGTAGCAGCTCAATTTTTGGAAAATGCGCATTTTAACGATGTTTTGTTGCAGAACTAATGTTAAAACCTATCAGAATCTATAGATTCCCCGAAAACTATTGAAAAAGCCTATTGATGAATCATTTTCCATATATTGAGGTGCTACGCGAGTATGAAGTTGGCACCGCAGTTTCTTAAAAATGTTTCAGCATTAGGCTTTTTCAATAGTTCTTGAGGAGCTCTGTAGTTCCTCTTAGGTTTTAACAATAGTTCTGCTACGCAACATCGGTAAAATATCTATTAAATATACTGGTGGCATCATATGCTTCAGTGCAGGCAGGCATGAGTTGCTGATTCTTGTCATATTAGACTTGCCGAGTTTACACTGTGCGCTCGAAAGTAGAAATGCAAAGAAAAAAAATATTTAGGCTATATTCGATGAGCTGCCTCGTTGTAAGTGTTGCTTTTCGAACCAGGCTTAAGTAGCGGAGAGCCTCTGCTCACCAAGCTACACGTTTGTGATCGCGGTCTGCTTGGCTACAACGGGATCCGCATTATCGACGAAGGCAAAGATCAGAAACTCTACTTTCGGACTCGCCGCTGCGATTCAGCGCCATGATTTTGATATCGCCCACTGAACTCTAACCATACTAGAATCCGTACGGCTGCATTCAAAGGTAACCCGGCAAACGCGAAGCTGTCTCAACCACCACCAGTAGGAATTTGTCCTTTTTGAGTTGAACTGCGCATGTGGTGTATAAGCCCTGCAAAAATGTTGTAACGCCGCATATCAGTGCCAGCTACGCCAGCACTGAAATACAAATACATACTTTAAATAGAGTGTGCCAGCTAATTATTTGGTAATAGTTAGCACTACTAATTATTTATGATAATTAAATTGTAAATATTATATACCAATTATAACATTTTTACTATCGAACTAAGTAATAAAACACAAAAAATACATTTTAAAAATTCAGTATTATATTTTTGTGTTTTGTACATATTGAAATTAACCTAAAAACAAAACTATTTCTTTCATGGTTTCGCTGTTCTTTTATCACATAAACGTAGGATTAGCTACACCTATCAATTACATAATATCCTCGATTTTTAAATTCATCATTTAAGGTGTCTGGAGCAATTCACAATAGTTAAATCAGTATGATCTGTACTAAATTTTCACGAGCCATCATAAAACGATCTAAGACCACGAAGGCTGAGGGTGGGGCAAACGTTACAATTATTAGATGAAATTTCATTTATTCTTATTCATTGATGGCCATTTCAGAATAGTCAAAACGAAAGCGAAGCCTTCACATCCTCCCCGCGAGTACTCCAACCCCCTAACAGACCGCTTGTCCTAAACACATCACTTGTTCATACAGAACCAATGGAATGTAACAATTTATTTCATTGAGACGACACATTGACGAGTACATTAAGAAATAATATGCAGAGCATGATCACTGGTAATGACGAAATAAAATTTCTAGCGAATTATCTAATCAAAAAAATAGTAATGAAAATAAACTCGAACACGAAAACTCATGGTAAGGTAAACGTTAAAATCATTAGATGAAATCGAATTTATTATTGTTTATTGATGACAACTTTAAGACAGCCAAAACAAAGGGAGACCCTCACGTGCTACCCCCCAGGTAGTCTAACCCGTAACAGTCTACTTACCCATACACATTACATTACTCGTCTATACAGAACCGTGCAATGTAACAATTTATTTAATTCATATAATGCATTTACATGGTACACAAATATTTGTCTTATTTAATATTACATATTATTTTCCAACATTCACCAAAGTTCTCCTTTAAATAATACTGTCACTTGGACGTGTAAGAAATAATACGTAGAACATGATCGCTAATATTGATCAAATAAAATTTCTAAGCGAATTATGTAATCAAAAAAATAATAATGAAAATAGGAGAAAACATCCTAAATCTTTCGTGGCTTTAACCGAAGCCAAAAACCTTCTTTCGGTGTAATACTAAAACTTTTTAGGGTAAACTTAGTCGGATCGAGAGTCTTTTCCGTTCGTTCAAACACAAAGTTTTGTATCAAATGCGTCATGATTATTTTCGTCTCCATCAACGCGAATCTATTTCCAATACACTTTCGAGGACCCAGTCCAAAGGGCAAATAAGTGCAAGGCACAATTTTGTTCTTATTCTCATCGTTAAATCTTTCAGGATCAAATTTATATGGATCCGGAAAATATTGTGGATCATAATGAAGAGCACGCACTGGAAACCACATACTGGAGTCCTTCTCAACTGTGACATCATTGTACCCTGGCATTGACTGCGGAAGCTTAAAACTCTTGACACAGACACGATCGATGAAAGAAACTGGAGGATGTTTTCGTAGAGTTTCAGAGATGACCATGTCCATGTACTTCATCTTCTGTAACATCTCATAGGTGACCTCGTCGTCGGCACCAGAAGTCACCTGATCAACCTCTTCGCGAAGCTTTTGCTGAACGTCAGGATTGAGCACCAGTTCATGAAGCATGTAACACATCAAAGTCGAGGAAGTATCGAAACCAGCCACAAAGAATATAAAAGCTTGAGCCACGATGTCATCGGTGGACAATGTTACACGTTCGTTATCTCTGGCCTGCATCAGCAAGTGAATCATATCCGGTCTGACGATTCCCTTCTCCTCTCTAACCTTAATAGCATCTTGGATGATCGTCCTAAAAAATGTCGTCTTGTCGCGTGATATGAAACTTTGACGCGTCAATCGCATAATACTCGGACATGTACAAAATAGAACAACCTTAATGATTTTCCAGATTTGCTCAAAACTAATTATATCTTTTCCGTTGACATAGAAGTCATTATCTTTGTCGCGCATCGAGTTGACGCTTATGCCGAAAGCTGCAGTGGCGATCACGTCGGTTGTGTATCGCGTGAAGGCATCTTTCGTCTCGATGGACTTTGTCTCTTCCGGATGCTCGAGTAGATATGTGACGAAATCCTTGGAAGTCTTGGAAATCAATTCGAACATGAACTTCATCTTGCTGGCGGTAAAGCTGGGACTCAGCGTCGCCCTCATTTCCTTCCAGCGTTCGTCGCGAAGAAAAAAGATATTCTTCGCAAAAAGCTTGTCCATCTTCTCGTCGATGAAGCTCCTGTGATTTGGAAAGTTTTCGAAATTCTTCACGCCAATGTCGAGAACCAATTTAGGGTCCCTAATCAAGATGACAGGTTTATTAAAATCCATCAGGCCGAAGAATCTTGCATCAGGGTATCGGTTATACATGTCCATTATAAATGCGGGAAGAGTTTTCAGTTTTAACAGGACCGGCGCCTGATTTCCAATAAGTGGTATCACTTCCAAGTATGGAATACCACGCCTCTTCCAATAGGTGTATTGACGGTAAATTTGAACAGCGAAAGAGAAGCTGACAATAACGAGGACACATTGCAATGCATACAACAAATACTCCATCGCGGAAAGAACTGGACGACTGTTCCCACTCGCAATGCAACTTTCGTACTGCGCACTGGCTTGATGCGCTCTCCCATAGAAGAGAAAGATTGCAACGGCCCAAGGATGTATTGCGTCATTATTGCAACGCACTATACAGTTCTCACGATAGAGTATGACCAGCCAAATTTTCACACGAAAACCGTTAATCGGAATGCTGTAACGAGAGCAGATACAGAGATCCTTTGCCGAAGATACTTTGTAGCGATAATATGAGATGTCGTCCGACCTCCGTGAACATCGGACATCTTCCGTCATGAATGCGAAAGTCATTTATATATCTCATGGAAAGAAGAAAGCAACATAGAATTAGCCGTCAAAACCGATTGACAATGTCTAATTGCTAATGAAGTTAAAGCTTCGTGAAAAGAAAATGTGGAGCTTCAAGAAGCTAAATACCACGAATTAAATTGACGTGGAGATCATTACCTCGAGATTCTGCTATAAAATGAATAGAAAATATGTCTCGTATACGCCAGGCAATTATTAATAATAAAGGGCACTTGACGAGTGATTTACATTAGAGCATTAAAACACTAATTGTGAACTATATGTTGTAACGAAGAAAGACGATCTGTCCGTGAACCCTTACATTGTCACCCTACTATGACTCTAACCTCCAATTATCCTTTCGGGCGCCAAGGAGTCGGTTATGTACATCAAATGTAGTGAAAATACGAAAAGTGAATAGCTGTTAGCCAATCGCGTGTTAGGTTCAAAAGAAGACAAGCACAGCGGTTGGTTAACAGCTATTGATTTTTCGTATTTTCACTACATTCGAATTACACAATTGACCTCCATCTCAGTCTTCCAAGCCTTTTTTTGTGGCGATCAGCGAGCCAGCAGCCAATCCTGCTCTACGCAGTTTCGGGTGAAAGAAAGGAGTTGCTTCCAAGGTCGTGGACAATAACCTTTTCGCTGCTCTTGTATATAAGTTAAAAGAAATAAAAGCTTTAGAAGTTCTTCTTCGTGTCGGGACAACACGTGATTCCTCCTTTCGAGCCTCCACTGTCATCGCCGGAGTGCTCTCTACCGGTGGTTCTCGCAGGCTTCTATTCAAGCTACTTTAAAACGTACGAAACATTAGGGATCTACATATATAGTTTCGTTTTACGAATAAACTGACACGAGTTGAAAACCATTCATAATATTACTTCTCAATGTTTATCGCCTTGATGAAATACTAAAGTAAGCTCACACGTTTGCACAAGATCTAATAAATTCTTATGTTAAATAGTATATTAAAAGGTTTTATATTATATCAAAAAGGTATATCGCTGTTTCTTGACTTCTGCCTTAATACCGTTTCACAAGCATCAGCTCAAACATTATTTCAGAGCACTGCTAGAACGTCTACCATTTTGGCATCCACATTGGACAGGATCGAATTCTTTTACGGTCAATCATATTCACGGCAAGTAAACACACAAATTCCATGCTGGGCATTGATGAGGCCCAATCAAAAAACTGTCACCGTAACAAGGAATTGTCTGAACTGAACTTGGGTTATTAACTCTTACCGTACTAGCGAGCGCCTAGTTCATGCCCCGATTGGTTTCCATGATAGGGAAAGACCCTACGAAAGTAGTTTCGACTTTAGAGTCTTATAAATTACACTTTGAATTATACTTCTTATGGCAACAAAAATTGAAATATTGCCCTGCATAATTAATGTCAAAGCTCATGATCAAGATGTATGTGTTTTCCAATTAATGATGTTTGTTCCTTATTCGCGTAACCTTCCTTTCATTCTAACAGGTAATTGCAATATAGTTGGTTCACCTGCGTAAGGATCCTTCGATCGATTGATTCATCAAACGAACTCCGGGACACCATAGACCATCGTCATATTTGTGCATCTATGAGAAGGTGATGACTATTCACAGATCATCCCTGTATTCGAGACAAACAGCATTCGTCCTTGCTTAATTGTCCATCCATGTCAATATTGAAGTACGTTGACACGTTTGCATAGGATCTAATAAATTCTTATTATATATATATGTATAATAAATTAACTGGACTTACAGTGCGAAAAAATGCATAAATTTTAAATCAAATAAGCTTTTGAAAGGATACGCACAATTTCGGAATATTAAACAATTAGGGCAATTGATTCATAAATGATTCGACTAACGAATGGTAATCTACTTATACAAAAAATAGTCCCGACTTTAGGGTCCGTTAACCTCCATCCCTCTCGAAAGGACTGAACTAACACTTACTTTCGCGAGCCATCATCGAACAATCTAGGACCACTAGTCCAATCGATTTGTCATTTTAAATAAAAAAAAAACGAAGTAAAACTTTTTCTTCGCGAATCGTTGGTCATTGGAAGTCTACATCCTGATTTTCGGGATGCCCC